ATTTAAAGGTAACTATTCGCGTTCATGGCTTCTTGGTTTAATAACATCATCCGATTAGATTTTTAGGTGGGTATGGCGGTGATCGATTGAAATGAGACAGAGAAGTATGAAACGGTACGCACATAGAAATTCTCGTGGACATTTTTGTTGACACTAACATTCAAAAACAACATCTACATGTACATTGGTACGTGAATGGAATATTAGTGTCAATAACGTTTGTAAAATAGTTTACTGCATAGGAAGAGGTGAACTTTTGGTGGAAGGTCAAGCTATTTTTGACGAAGAACCTTACTTGTCTTCATGGATACCTACATATTCGAAATGAAAGAATATAATATGATCTTGTTAAAGTCTAAAATCGTTGGAAAAGATACACTTTTCAACTTTGACTTTTTATATTAGACGAGTCGTCTGTTTTAAAGAACCTTTTTTTTGCTGTCTCCGACTTATGATTATAATCTTTGTGTGTGCCCCTTTTTGTTCATTTATACAATGTATATAGTTAATGCGTGACAACCGTCATTTATAAATATTATTTATGAAAGAAAATATCTTATCGTAATAGAAAAGATACATGATATCTGAAAATGTAGACATTATAAGGAACAATTAAGAATTTTAACGAAAATAGTCTACTTTCTAAAATTTCTTTTATTTATTAGTAAATCATGAGAAGTTTTACAACATATAAAAGTTCAATGTGACACTCTTTTTATTTTTAGATATTAAATCATTTTTACGAAGACAGTTCCAGTGCAAGTTACTTAAACTAGGGATACACCAATGAGATTTTATTAACATTAACATATAATTGTTTAGCTTGACAAATAGATCTTAATAAAAAAGACAAGCGACAGATATCACTTAATTCGTTAATAATAAGTTAACTTAATGTTTAAGTTAATTAAAATTTTGTTAAGCTCAAGAAATCCCAAATGATAATCGATTTATGAAAATTTCCATGTTTGATTATTTATTTATAGAATATGTATTCTGCAAAAATCATGTTTTTCAATAATGAGTATAATTAAGAAAATTTATATGACAAATAAAATCTTGTTATCTCGATTTTGGCTCGTTTAAACAGCAACTATTAGCAGTTATTTATTATAAGACATTTAATTTACTTTTAAGTTAATATGAACAATATAATTTCGATGAGAAAATAATAAAAATGTTTTTATTAATTTTGAAAAGATAACTCGTGGATGTTTGATTGTTGAGAGAAAAGAATTAATTTTCATTTATTCAATTTGCTGCAAATCTTCTGTAATAAATTTGTAAACGAACACTTATAAAATTCAAACTCACTGTCAACCAATTAAACATAATTTTTATCATTGGATAAACTTCGTCTAAAATCTAACATTTAAAGCTGTAATTAAAAATGATTATGTATAATTGTAATAAAAATAACAGTCTAACATACATTTATATGAATGTTAACAACTATTATATAATTTTAAAGTAGTGAACAAGTTTTTTAGCTATAATCTCTTTGTAAAATTCAACAATATGATTTCTAAGATAATATTCACTATTAATTGATGAAGAGAATAAAACAGTCTTGTTCCATAATCTAACACATAGACAATAAGATTGATTTTTTAAAATAAATTCAGAATAAATTTGCCGTTAATAAGATGTTCTTCTTTTTGCATTGACATATAATATTTAGTAAAAATTGATTCATTTATACAATTAGATATTGATGACTTTGACAATTTTCCTATAAGTGACATATCTAATATAAATATAAATGTAATTTGAATGTATCTATAACGAATAATGAAGTTAAATGCGTCTATCTATATGTTCAATTGATATTACAATTATTCAATACATTTAAAAACGAGACAATATTTAGAAATATATCATTTAGAATTAAGTTTTTAATATTGAAAAAATTGATCATCTTCAATAAATATTTTATTCTAAATAAATATGATTTTATGCAAGATGATCATATTTGTGTAAGCTTTTCTAATTATATAATCGATATTCTCTTGTCAACCCTAGTTGACTTTCCGTAAAGAAATCCCTGGGGAGTTCCGACAAATTGTGAAATCCTCAGGGAGTCCGTTACGTGAGTCCCACTGGAGTTCAAGTAGAATACGAGAAAACCTTCGGAAGTCCCTGAAGAGAGTTCAAGTAAGATACGAGAAAACCTTCGGAGGGAGTTCCTGGAAAGTTCAAGTAAAATACAAGAAAAATTTCGGAAGAAGTTCCTGAAAAGTTCCTGAGAAGTCCCTGAAAAATCTCTAAGGATTCCCAGATGAGTCCCTAGGGATTTTTCAGGGACTCCTCAGGAACTTTTCAGGAACTTCTTCCGAAATTTTTCTTGTATTTTACTTGAACTTCCCAGGAACTCCCTCCGAAGGTTTTCTCGTATCTTACTTGAAATCTCTTCAGGGACTTCCGAAGGTTTTCTCGTATTCTACTTGAACTCCCGTGGGACTCACGTAACGGACTCCATGGGGATTTCATAGTTTGTCGGGACTCCCCAGGGATTTCTTTAGGGAAAGTCAACTAGGGAATATATTCACCTTTCTGTACAGCATCAAATTATTCAAATTTCATTTATTACAAATTTTAAGTATAATCAACAATAAATATTTATTTTTACGTATTAATCATGCGTCATATTGATCGATAACACTTTTATTATTATTCGAATACTGATACGTTTTTTAAGTAATTGAATACTTTTCTTTTTCTTTACGCTTGTAATCAAATGTTTGACCTTGAAATTAGCCGTTTTCGATGTGTATACCTCATGCTCACTCTGATCATCGCTCATATGAGCGTGATCTGTTCAGACCGAAATATTTTTAAAATAAATTTAAATCTGTGTAGTCTATTATTATACATATTAAATATTATGTATAATAATCTATAATAAAACTACTGGAAAATTTGTGAAGGATGATATTGAAAATAAAGATAAATATTGTCTTACTTTCAATAGATATTTCTATAGTTTTTCAATATAATTTAACATTATTTTACTTTTATGTATCTCGAATAATAACTCTCGTCAATAATCTTAACTTGTCACATTATCTTATTAAGTCAAACAGTTTTACGATCGTATTTTTCATTATCAAGTACAAATACATACGATTTTTTATGGAGTTCGTAAACGACTCTTGTTTTCTTAAGTATCTTATCATAAAACCTTGTACTTTTGGCAGAGAGTACAAAGAAATATTGAAAAATTAAGTAGATTAAAATCTGTTCGTATTCAATGAAATATGGATTTTATATTGTTGTTTTCATTGATTTATGAAATTTTTTTAGTTTAAATGAATTCAATTATGAATATAAATGAGTCGAAGAAAAATGCCAAATACATATTAATATATTTCTTGGTCTCTCTTGACATTAGAAGATTTTTATTCGCCAATGTTTTTACAAATAAATATATATATTTATGATTTAATAATTAAAATATTTTCATTAAAGTTTTTTTTTTTATTTAATATAATAAAATTAAATTCTCCTTTGATATAAATAAGGATAAATTACTTATTTTCATATTGAGAAGATTTTATCCACAAAATCAAAATTTTTCTAAGTTCTAATATTGTTTATTATTGTTAAAACATAAAAGATTGACAATAAATCACATGACTATATAAAAGAGTTCATCCTACGAGAAGTCTCATTGAATAAAATTTGAAGAATAATATTATTTAAATAAGATAAATTAATCAATATGAATTTATCAGATAATCAACTCGTTCGCTAATAGAAGCAATTAAAAATTTTTTTTGAAAAGATTTTTATAAAAAAAAAAGATGCATTATCGAATATGAAAAATAATATATAAGAATGCTTTTTTTTTATTTCATGAAATATATTTAATTGACAGAATTATTATCAAAACAAATAGTCTTTTATACAAATGAATCTATTCGAATAACTTTTTCTTAAACAATAAAGTAATAACTGAAATAAGATTTGAATTTTTTTTTTTCTAATCTCGATCAAAAATTCCACTATTAAACATGAAAAAGAACAAATATTTAACTGATTTTAATGAATAATTCTCTTTAAATTTTGAACTTGTTTTCTTTCATAGAAGGTAAACAATACGATTTATTTTTTCGGATTCATTTTACCTATACTCAATATAAATATATTGAATAAAATTTCTTCTTTTTTTTAAATAAAATATTCTAAATCAATATAAAATACAGTAAACTTCAATGTTTAATATTTGATTCGGTTTATGAATGATAATTAAAAAAAAAATATTCATTGAATATATATTATCAAACGAAGATAATCATCTCGATCTTTATTCTATGTGTTGATTATTATTATATCGAATATTTATTTAAAATAATATTAGAAATAATTCTATATCAAAATGAATAGTTTAAAATAAAAATCATTCAAAATATTTTCTAGATATTTCGATAGACTTGTTCCAGGTGACCTCAATTAACGTAAAACTAAAGTCCAATGGAATTTTTTGAGATTTAGTTATGATACAGATAACTTGAATTCTAGGTAAGAAATATTTTTTGAAAAATAACATAATCATTTTAATCTTAGTCAAACAATAATCAACAATCAATAAAAATAAATCAAATCAAACATTTTATTAGTATTTTTATGATCCAACCTTTTAACTTTTATTATTATTAAAGATAAGACAAAAAAATATTCTATATAAATATTTAACATTGAAGAATTTATCTGAAACAAAAGTATTCAACGAATAAAAAGAATAAAGTAATCATTTTCAATGATATGTATATTAAATATATTATGTTTAAATTATATTCTAGAAAAAAGTTCAATGATATCACATCTATTTATCGTTTTGATTTCATTGGTAAAACAAATTCTAATTATAATAATAATAATTACAAATGAAAATATTTATTTGTTTTTAGATTGGAGTTCAAGGACAATACTAGTTTAAAAACTGTGGTGCATCTAACGATGTAATTCAATTAACGAATCTTCAAATAATTCCTCATCCAATGAAAATTCCAAGTTCGGTTATATTTTCACTTTGTGTTAAAACAACTGAAGATATTGTCGGCCCTATTAAGGTTTTTTTCAATATCATTTTTTAAAAATTTTCACCAATTAATTATTTTTAGACGGAGTTTAAATTGCATAAAGTTGTTTGGGGGTTTAATATTGAAGTTCCTTGCACCGACGGTGTTGGGTCATGTAAATATGATGATTGGTGTACTTTTTGTAAGGACTGTCCTTGTACAATATTAACAGTAATATATTTTCTTTTCTCTATTTTTTTTTTTATTTTAATATATTTGAAATATTTAATTTAAAAGGAGATCAAGTAATGCATATGCCAATGGAAATAACAACATCTGTACCTTCAGGAGAATATTCTGTTGAAATCAAATTAACATCCTACACAGGTCAAAAAGGATGTGTCAAAATAACCAAGATTAAAGTTGAAAATTAAAATTTTCATTTCAAATCAAATTAAATCTTCTGATTTTCTTTTCTTTTCTTTTTTCAAATAAAAATTTTTTTCAAGAAAGATTATTTTTTAAAATAAATATATTTTTATTTGAAAAATTTTATATAATAATTAATATTAATAAATATTCTCATGAGAGATTAAATATTTCGAAATCAAATAAATTAATTAATCTATTGATTATCTAAATTAGATATGATAAACAATAACAAATAAATAAGAGAATCTTCTTGTTATTTTCTCTAGTTCGACATATATTAAAGATTAAAATCGAATAATTTAGACAATAATTTATATTCCATAGAAGTTAATAAATAGAATTTATTCTCATATTCGAAATCATATATTCTATTGAATATATCCATAGATTCGTATCGAATGTTTCTCGACATAATATGTGTGTAATTAACGCACACGTCTTATTTATTCTTTGTTGATCAATTTAATTCTTTCAGATCTCGGTAACTTGGTCAAAGTCAATGGTATTGTAGTATCGAGTTTTGCTTTTGGTCATTATTAGACAATATGCGAAATATTTTTTGAATAGTTTTATGAGGATGCGAGGTCATTTCTCAGTAAACCAGATAAAACATAGGTGCTCATAAATATCTGTTTATGATGATGAAGGAGCTATACAACTGAATAACCAACAAATAGTTAGTATATATTATTTATTGTATTGTTATTTATTTTCGACTAAAATATAGGATCAACTTAACGAATAGTAAAATTATTTTTTTCTATATTACTTTTAAAATTAGATTATATAACAGTATCAATGCAATCAAAATTGGTTATTAATCATTGATTTCTTTTTCTTATCGTAAATTTATTATTGAGCAAATAAATATAATAATAAGTTAAAATAAAGTATATATTAACAGATATGAAAGGATCAAACAGTGTGTAATGTCCCCATGTAGATTGAATATCATCAAATGGATTTCTATCGTATTCTAGTTGCATCCGATAGGATCGAAGTTCTGGATTCTTCGTTCTGGAATAGTATTGTGTATGTAATTGGTAATTAGTGTCGTCATAACATTCTTATAGAATATTCTATGTCATTTCTTGAATATAAGTTGGAAAACTTTATGATCATGACTACAATATGGATGAGATTGATCACATATGAAACTAATAATAGCCGTTAGGTCAATACAATTATTGCAGAGTGTTTAAGTAGATAATAAATTCTGAATGAAAAAGTCGTTAATAAATAGAGATTTTTCAAAGAAAATAACCGTTAGAATAATTTAAAATTTTCTAGAAAGATTCTTCGAGTTAGTCAGTCAAGATAAATACTTCTCGATCTATGCGCTCAGATACAGAATTCGACGTTAGAAAATGACGATAAAAAATTATTGATGACAATTATGAAAAATATTATCAGTTAAAAATAAAGCATCAATGATATTATCATAATGAAGATTATTTTTCTAGATGTTTCGATCAGAATATAAAGAAAATAGATAAAAAGGAAAACTTTTTTTTTCTGTTTACTGAACTTAATTCGTATTTGTGACAAATATATGATGTGAATCAATAAAGTCTATAGGTTATCAGTAATATAATAATGATCATAAGAAAGCAAATGAAAAATATTCAATTGAGTCGTATTCTATATTGTTACTATTATCGGAATTTTAAAAAAGGCCATCGAGCAAAATGCTTACAACGTTTTAACGAAGATAGCTACAGTCCTGCGGTTTTCATCATTCGAAAGAGGAGACAGGGAGACATCTTTTCCTTCAATATTGTATAAGACGAAATCATTTAAAGATCAGTCATTTCTACAAAACATCGAAAAAACGTACAAAAACGGTCTGTCATTCAGATGAAATTTTGGTTTTGACATCTGATCTAGACAGACGGACATCAGATCTATAGTTCAAGATATAATTTGAATGATTATCTTTCCACATCCTAATGTTGAACAAAGAAAATCATCTATTCAATCGCACGAAAATTATGGAATTCTTTTAACTTTTAAACACATTTTCTTACTTTTCGTCAAAATTTCATCTGAATGACAGACCGTTTTTGTACGTTTTTTCGATGTTTTGTAGAAATGACTGATCTTTAAATGATTTCGTCTTATACAATATTGAAGGAAAAGGTGTTCCCCTGTCTCCTCTTTTGAATGGTGAAAACCACAGGGCTCTAGCTATCTTCGTTAAAAAGTTATAAGCATTTTGCTCAATGGCCTTATTTTAAAATTCCGATAATAGAAAAGATATATTTGTTGAATGATGAGTTTTGAAAATGTATAAAGAAAGTTGTCTGACAATCGAATAGAAAAAAAACTGAATAGATAATCAGATTCATTAAGTGTGTGTGTGTACTTCAATACAGCAATAAATATAAGTTAAATTGTTAAAAAATTTTTTGTATAATATAATCAATAAAATAAGTAGTGTAAATTTCTCTATAGAAAAGTTTCTTGTATTTTTCTAGCAGCATCCAATTGTATTTTAATCATGGGAATTTGTTTAAGATATGCAATTGAATCATTGATATTTTCAATAACGCTAGATTCATTTTGTACACGTTTTTCTATAATATTATTCATTTGTTTTTCATAGTCTTGTTTTAATAATCGAAGTTGATTATATAATAATAAATTGAAATGATGAGAAGATATATTGTTACAAATAAAATTTTCTTCATTAATAATTCGATTTAAATTGAATAAAAATGGATCATTATCTGTCATATGCATAACATACATTAGAAAATGAACTAAATTGATACTTATTTGAAGAAGTTCATTGGAAGAAGTTAATTTTTTTATACATCGATTATTTATTTGATTAAATTGATATTTATATTCAAGTTGATAATCGATATGCATATGATTATTTGAATCACACGAACAAGTATGACATTTGTTTGTGTAATTGTGTGAATAATGATATATTATCCAGAAAATTCCACATTGTTGATAATTATATTTGCATGAATAACATAGAGTAGAAGAATGTTTAACAGATATTGGATGCAATTCAATCGAATAATCTGTATGACCTATGTTCCACAATAGAATATTTCGCATATTATTTCTTATTGTTTCCACGATGGGACGAATTAATTGATTTATTTCGAGTTTAATATATTCTCTTTTTTTCAATCCTTTATCAAGAAAATAAGGCTGAAGATTATTACTAACATAATCTAGAAGATGATTCCATCCATTATGTGAAATAAGCCAACTTTGTTTACATATATCATTTTGATGATTATCCGATATGGTTAAATGACGTTCGATAGTTAAATGACGAAAAAAAGTACTATCAAAAGTAAATATATTTGTATCCTTAAAAGGAATATTATTAACTGGAATTGATTTAAGGATTGTTTTGACTGTTTGAGATAATTCATTTGAATTAATTGTATGAGAAAGTGTTTTAGTGAAACAAAATATTAAATTTTTCATAGCATCAAACTCAAGAAAATTAAATAAATATGTTAAACATGTTCGATATACATCGAGTTGTTTATCATTTGGTTCCAGAAGAATACAAATAGCATTTAAATGTGTTAAATTAATGATAGATGATAATATTTGTTGCATGACTAATTCATCTTGTTTTTTATAATCGTTTTTACTAAATCCAGGTGTATCAATAAAACATAACTTTTTATTATTATTATTATCAATATTAAAATAATATGATTTGCAATTTTGTGTTATTGATTGATCATGATAATCATAATTTTCATTAGAATCATCATTAGTCAAATGCACAACATGTTCTTCAAATGCATTTTTAATTAAATCTGCACATTTAATAATTACATACAAAGGTGATCTATGCAATATAATGTCTTCATAATTATTGAATTTAAGATAATTAATATAAGTATTAATTAATGTTGACTTTCCAACTCCTGATTTACCTAGAAGAAGAATATTGATTGTTTGATCATCAGTAGATGATATTGAAGGTTGATCAGATATGTCTTTCTTATTTGTTAATAACGATATTCTTTCATTGATATTTTCAGTATTGTTGATTGAAGGAATTATTTTTATTTCATTTAACTCAAACATAGAATAAGTAAAATCGACATAAACTATATTTAAATAAGGTTTCGATTTTCTTTCGTTCAACATAGTTGAAAATAATTCATCCAATTTATGATAATTATTCTTATTTAATTGATCGTTTGAACATATAATACGTTGTTGATAATTATTTTTCAGTAGTTTATCTTCGATGATATTATCATTGTCACTTTGTTCGATACTAAATTCAATTGCATTTTGATATTCAATATTTCGTTGTTGTAAATTGATGATAAAAGCTACTTTTTCTTTTAAACGTGTCAAACTTAATATAGAATCATCGATACTATCTTTTAATGTTGTTTGAATATCTTCGTTAAATAAATTATGTTCGATTACATTTTGTGTATCTTTACTACAACGTAAATTTACAATCATTTTTTGTAATTTTATCTTTTCATTTTCATATCGATCAATTAATTTTGATGATTGGTTTTCTGCTGCTTGTAATTGTTCTTTGAGATATTTATTCAATATATTGGATGTCTGATTATCAAGAGTTGCTTTCCAAATTTTTTTGAGCCACAATAATCGAATTAAATTTTGCTCAATATTTTGTACAATTTTCGGTTCAATTGGAGTAAATCTAGAACAAATTTTATCTTTATCACTATGAAATTCTTCAATATGTTTAAGAATATAAGTCGATGGTCGACATGAATTAGAATTATTTTTAAATTTGCATATATCATGGTAAATATCTAATAATTTAGTCTTATTATTTAAGTCAGGAATATTCGAATAAATATGTGTTGACAAAATTCCATCAAACGAAACTTCATCAGGTAATATCGTATTACTAATTAAACATTCTCTTATTTTATTTAATGTATTATCGATCACTTTTTGATTGTCAGGGATCAATCTTAATATGACAACAACATCAATGCCAACATCGATTGCCGTAATAATATGAGTAGCAATATCTTTCGATGTTGATTGTTGAATACTCTTTTGAAGGTTGTCAACATCCATAGATAAACATTCTTGTCGAATCGTATAAGAATAATAGAAAATGCGAGTGTATTCATCGATTAAATATGGATATTCGATGACTAAGGCAATACCCATCGGTAAAACAGTATTTAATAGCAAGCTCAATTGAAATTCATTGTTAAATCCGATCAACTGAAGAAGATTTTGAAATTCAATTTTATCTCCAGTCTCAACGACACATTTTGTCTGTGAGTGTGCTTTATTTTCATTAAAATGAAAATCGATATGTGGTGATTCTACAATACAATCTCGACACGCATCGTAGAGAGATCCGATACGACCAGAAGAATCGATTGCTTTGCGTTCAATACTGTCCATCTGGTTATGTGTCAAGGAAACATTGTTATTTGATTGATTATCATGGTTTAAACATGATTCTTTATTTAAGTTTATCGAGGAAATAGATGTCTTATTTAGATTCATTGATGAGGAATTAATTAATGACTCAATCGTATATGGCATTTTCTGATTTTTAAACCATTTTTCTCCTTCATAGGCAATCCAATTACTTACACATACAAGGAACTTTTTTGCATAAATAAAATCGCACCAGTTTTTAGGCAATTGTTCATAACCATAGTAAGCACCAGCCAATTGTCCATAAATAGCTGCTGTTGTGTCAGTATCATCACCTAGATTAACAGCATTGAGAACACCTTGCTCAAACGAATCGCCATCACTCCAAAATGCCCATAGAGCAGCTTCAAGACTATTGACAACATATCCTTTACCTCGAATTCCTTGTTCATAGCCACCATTTTTCTTGTATGATCCTTGAGCAATACTTAATATATCCGGATGAAGATCTTCATTTCCAAACCATTTTTTATAATTATTAAAGAATGTATCACTGATTAGTTCGTCTTTCTTCTTGCCATTGAGAGTAGCTACAATTAATGCTCCATAATAACGACATGCATCAATAGCTTTTTTATCTCCATGTGTAATTTGACCACTTTTACCTGAATATTCAATAGCTTTTTCAGGATCTTTATAGAAGAAAAGAGGTACTGGTGCGAGACGCATTAGAGATCCATTACCAGCTACTCCATCTTCACTACAGTTTACATTAAAGGATTGAAGAAAGTGAGGATTAGAATAAGAGTCTAGTTGATCAATATCAATGTTGAACTCTTCTGAAAATTTTCTTTGACGTTTTTCAAATTCTTGAATAGAATGTCGTGTGGCAACGCCAATATCAAAACAATGACCAGTGGATGACATGTATCCATGTCGATACCACCATTTATATCTCACCAATTGATCATAAGCATTAAAACCTTGACTAGCTATCAATGAATTAGCCAAACAAAGAGCCATCGATGTATCGTCGGTAAACTACAAAACACAACAACAATTTCATATCGTTCTATCAAAAAGTGAAAAATACGATTGAACCATTAGTTTAATGAAGAATAAAAAGTTTCATGATTTCTCTCTCTTCAATTTTTACATTTAAAGATTATAATGGCCTATAGTAAAGATTCGCAAAATTCGATATGTTCAAGGTGATTCACTGTCATGCGGCATACATTCACTCGTTTGGAGAAATACGATCAAAGTCTTATAATTATATGATGAATTTTAACAGTCAGATTCAACAGAAACTTCAATTGTCGGATTCCAATAAGATTCTTCTAGAATTCTGCCGTCATAGTTTCTGACTGTTGATAATAGATGTACTTCAGATTTAAATGTAGACACCTTACTAAAGCTGATATTTTGTCTCAAGCAAGCACCTTCATAATTAGCTTCATTGGTAGGTATGTGATCTCAGTTTTTTAGTACTGTCTAGATACTCACGATTCTCTATGAAGTCTTAGCAAAGATTGTCAAGGTTCAGAGACGTCAGATGATTTGAGTACCGGTTGCATTAAAAATTCTAAGAGTTAATCCTAATCCAACCTAGTGGATTGAACAAGTGATGTCAAAGCGAAACTCTCCCAAAAGCTACACAGATAATATTATTGCAGTCTCTAAATTTTCAAGCTATGATCAGTGTTCATACATTCTATGATGTTCTAATGAGATTAGAATCTGATCCACTTTCGACACCAAAATCCATGGATCATTCCATCTTATCGGTTTTTTTGTAACTTATTTATTTGTATTAAGAATGGGACGAAATGTTTAAAATTAGCTGATTGTATGATTTAGAATGTATTCAAAAAGTATAATGTCTAAATTGAATTTAACCTGTCCTTTTTCGAGACCCCATGTCCCTCCCCCTTGAAGGTCTTTGACTGGATTGGCTTCCATATAGCTGTGAGGTCTGAATTCCACATGAGCACCTAGAGCATCACCGATAGCTAAACCAAACATCGATCCTTGAATACGATCTACTATATCATTATTTCTGGTCCATGGAGGATAATCTATTGTGTCAATTTCAACCTCATTTGGTTTCTTAATAAGTTGTTTATCAGCATCATGATATTGTAAATCTAGCCAATGTTTATCTAGAGATAAAAAGACTGTCATTCTATTCTAGCAATAGGTTGATAAATCCTTCTTTTCCCCAAATAGAAATTAATACAACTTCATAGATTTCTTTTCATATAAAAGTATGGCATTGTCAGGCACACTAAAAATATTCTACATGCATACTCGATTTATATGGTGAAGTTGAAGACATGAACTGTTGGATTGTTTTCTCTAAAATAACAAAATCTGAAAAGTAATATATTTTTCTTTGTTTGAAATCGATCAAATATCCTTTATCTAACGATAAACGAAGCAAAAGATAATAGACAGCGGAAGAATTGTTTCAGAAAAAATCATCGTTTCTGGCAGTTAATGTGCACTAATCGTTTTACATACTTCAACTACAACATAAACAGGATGTAAAGAGATGTATAAAGACGAAATGAATGTTCATGGTAAAATAATTGTCGAATCTCATTAGTCCTATGAAAACATGCGAGTCAAATCGTGTATTCTGTTTTTGAGAATCGTTTATTATCGCGTTCTAACAAAACTGTGGATTATAAAAGTCAAATAATACTCCAAATAAATCCAATCTATGTATGATATTAAGATTCTCTTATCAAACAACTTACCACAATAAAATATTCAACAATTAGAAAAATAAGTATAAAAAAATAAATGATAACATATGTGTCTTTCAATTTGACTTTTTTTTTTTAGTCGGACACAAGTCTACACAGTTTTGTTTCGAATGAATCTCGTCTTTTATTTGTGCACATTTGTTAATATTTACTTTTTCTTTCCTTTTTTTTCTTCGGCGGTCATGTTTCCTCCGACATCATGTTGTGTCAATAAAAATAGCATATGACCTTGTAAAACAGGTAACATAAGAAGTAAACGACGTTATTCATTGTCAGTTTTATTAAAATTTTTTACCAACTTCACAATGCTCTTATACGATCGATTTTTAAAAAATTTGTACAAAAAAGAATTTGTTTTATACAACATACGACTAATTTCAAATGTGACGTAGGAAGAAAATTTTCACTCGTACTCCGAGAGTAAATAAATGTTGACATGCAATGATTGCAACTGACTCCCTCACATAAATATTTCACACTTGAGTTTTTATTATTGAAAAATATTTTTATCAAGACTCACAAAAAATTTTTAAATATTCAATTTACTCTCATAAAACACGTCCTTTTTGATGATATTGTACGGATGAAAAATGATTAAGTTCAAGATGTCTCTTTGAAAATTTTCTTTTATGTTTAAAAAAATTTTTAATAAATGAATTTGACAAGATTTTCATTTATATTTATTTTATATTAAATGAAAAAAAATTCGAATATGAATTTCAAGCATACAAATTTTATACTTTTTATTAAAAAAAATTTCTTATTTAAAATTCTTCTTTAAACTTTGAAAACACGAAACTTTACAATAAAAGTCTTGTTTGAATTGAATGAAACGTATAAGAATTATTTTACAAAAATGTTTTCAAGTCTTATATGGTTGTCTTAACAAAAATCTCCGATACAATGAACTATCCGATTATGACCCACTGAGTTATTGTTCACGGCTCGAAAACCTTCTGTTCATGGATTTTTTTGAATTATTGAAGTTTACAATAGTAACATTTTCCAAGTAACTAGAATATATTGTGAAAAGAACAATGATTGATAACGTATCAAAGATCGTTTCATTTCGAAATAACCTCGAATAAAGCTCAAGACTTTTTTAAACAATATAAATCTATATCTATAGATGTTCACGGATAAATGAACATTGAAATTAGTTCCAATGAATTTAAGACAAATATTGCTTAAAAAAATTATCGACACCTCAAAATTACATTCGACGTGAAATCTTTGATGTTCTTGATTAGATTCTTGTTAGGTCCGATGACGAATCAGCACTGGTTTGCTCTCTCTCTGTTTTTTTTTTAAAGAAAAGACTAATCCATGAGAAAGCATCTATACACAGAGTTGTAAGACCTTGTCAGAATAGAATACAAGGTTTTACCGAGATCCAGTGCAGTTTACCGCTACGACAAAACCAGGAATTAGTTCAGAAAACTCATTGATTCTAAGAACAACGTGAAATCATCTATTATCATAAATTCTCATGGGATTTGAAGTAAGATCTCGACATACGATAAATGATTCTTTTCATATTAACGTCAGATGCAAGAATGCCTATACATAGGAATTCCAAAAAAAGTGTATACATAAATGTATAATCATCAGTTATCGTTCGGTTATTACACCTTGAGAGCCACTATAGCTATGATCAAGTGGTAACAATGATGGATCTGGTATTTATAATACTGGCACTCGGATATGTGGATTTTCAGCACGTTCCTGCCGTTTCTAGACGAGAAGCTTCGTGTAATTTGGTAGAAAATTGACGACAGCAATGGAATGATTCGATAAGATGACTGAGTTTTTCTCGTTCTCATCAGATCCGGCCAGTCGGTCTCTACTTTCGAGTTCCTAGCATTTTTCACAATTTTTCGACTAGAACCGGCTATACTTCATTTCCTTCGATTGTTCTAATTATGGAATGTTTTTTTTAATCAGATTAAACTAGACGAATGCAATTGAAGTAAAAATCTACATCCATAATCCGACGAAAAATTGACATCTATGATTATGATGAGGACTAGGAATTTGTCAATTGAAGATTAATGAACTCTTATTCCGGCATCACTAAAACCATAAAAATAGCCAGAAGCGAGTAAAATAGATTAGCTTCGGGACCATATCAAAACGGTTGCTTTGGCATCATTGAGAATCGAATTTTCGAAAATAATTCATACTATATCTCACAGTTTTTAGAAATTCAACTTCTCATGAAAGAAAAACTCTTTTAAGCGGAAAGTTGCAGAACATTCTAGTCAAAAGTAGGTCTATCTATGACCCAAGCTAGAGATCAATATATCACTAATCGATGAGCTCAAATATATTGTGCCATACACTGGTATTTCAGTCAATCGGCTTAAGTCTGAACTAAAAAAAAAGTATTAATTTCTTTCAATAATTCTGTTGTAAGAAAGCTGTTCTGTAGATGTTAATGAAATGTTAATGTGGTGCTAGTGTACTTTCAATTGTTTTCTGGTTCAACTAATTATTTGAAATCCGTGACTTATTGGGGAGCTATAGAAATAAGGCATCAAAGTTGATAGTTTGTTATATTCATTTTGGATTTTTATTATAAAATTTGAGTGCTAATGAATGCTGCATTCTTTCTTGATAAACAAGCTCTGCAGATTTTATTCTTAAATTAAATTAACGAATAGAACCAATCAGCTAATTATTTTGCAAAAATCAAAAGAAAATAAATATAAAAAGTTTTATGCTGGAATTCAATTTATTTAAGCTTTAAAAAAATGACAAAACCTAATGTAAAAACAAATGTTTTGCCTTTTTATTTCGATGTCAGGTAAATCTTATCCATTAATCAATTGTTCACAGTTTGTTCCCTGATATTGTGAACCACAGAAGCAATAGTATGAATTTCCAGTATTGTAACATGGGCGATTATTTCGGCACGGCTGGTTAGCACATGTTATACCAACTAAAAGAAAATTTGAACTATTTTATTTTCATATTCGAATGTTCATTCGGTTCAAAATCGAATATAAAAAGAAAACTTGGTCATTTTCGTTTTTATAAATCTTGTTGAAAATTAAAACAAATGATTCGACCAACTTAATTTGTTTTCTAGGAAAAACTCTATAAAAAACCATTCGATTTAATAAAATATGTTAGTGAAGAGAATTCATTATCATTTGAATCCTTAGAAAATTCTTGATTCATATCTTTTATTTTTTTTAGTTATCAAAGTCAAAAGCAGATTGTTATGATAATCATTATTTGTGTGCAAAATATTATTTTTAGTCGAACCAACTTTAACAGATTATTGATTCACAGTTAAATCCAAGAAAAAAATTAAATGAAAATTTGTTCATTTTAGTTTAAAAACTTGTTCATGTCTATTTAACAATTTGTGTGTTCTTACGAGAATGTTTTATAAATAGGTTTCTTATTAAAAAGAGTTTATTTTCATTTGACAAAATCATTTGGTTATTTTCAAGGCATCTAAAATAGCTTAAACAGCATTATTTCTATGTCATCTTTAAATCGAATTATTTTTCCATTTTTTTTTATTTCAAGGAAAAGTAAGAGTCAAAACTTTGCTATCCGAAATAATATGATAATACCTGGAGGTGAATTTGTTTGTGGTTGCGTTGGTGATGGAGTTGTATCTCCTGGTCGACTTGATAGAGTTGTTTTCTCTGATAGAGGTGGTGAGGTTGTACGTTCTGGTACGACAGAACTTGGTTCCGCTAAATAAAAATATTTTCTTCTAATCAAAATAGATAGTAAGAAAAGAATCTAACGCCATTTATGGAATATTTATATAAGAAAAGAAGAATGATCTTCTACTTTATGTATTTATTTTTTTTGGTTTTTTGAATAAGTGTGAAAATTTGGTGTGATATTACATTTAATGAGAGTATGTATGCGACGATATATTTTAAACAACGATTTAAGTTGAAGAAAAAAAATTTTCTGTTTGAAAGGATTTATGTAGACTGAAATGCTAGGGTACAAATGTGAGTATGGATGCATAGACGTGATGGTATGAGTATGAGAGTGTTGCTGATCGATATCCCCTACATGTTCATCACATCTTACACTTACGTGCGCATCAACACTCCTGCACTACCGACGAAAATAACCGTATGCATCATATATATCGAGGAAAAACTATCGCCTTGTTTTAACTGTGAATATATTGAACTACGGATCATAGTCGTCATCAGTTAAAAAAGAAATACTAGATTGGTCCAGCCTGGTCTATCTAAAAATATTTCGAGACTAGTAAAAACCGATAAGTACACAAAGTTTTTTAAATGACAAAAATAATATTACTCAAGCAGACAAAACTTGGAAAAGCGCGTTTAAGCACTCAAAATGGAGGCGCGATTCTGAACCATCTACGCTGATTAGAAGAACTCAAGAAAGACGTTTCTTTGCGCAAAATTTTGATTTTCATAGCGTGAAAACGGTGAAAAACTCCAGTCTTTAATTTTGAAATGCGCTTTTATCCTAGACTTTAAAAACAATGCGTTTTAATGTTCACTTTTGAATTTTTCGCCATCTTCACACTTTGAAAATGAAAATATACACAAATAAACGCTTTTCTTGAGTTTATCTAATCAGAGTTAATAGTTCACAATGGCGGTTCCATTTTGAGCATTTATGCGCGTTTTTTCAAATTTTTGTCTGCTTGAGTAGGAACATAATTTCGTTCTGAATATCTAAAGACGTTTACAATTTTCATTTCTGAAATACTTGTATTTTAATGAACCTTATCCCCATTTTGCTTATAAGGCTATCGATAATAAAAAAAGAGTCAACTCCAGGTTTGTCGCGGTTCGACAATTTTTGAACTGGTTTCATCCAGTTTCTCCAAATTTTAGACGAATCCGGTCTAATCGGTTCTAAAGGTCTTTTTCAACCAATGGCAACTGGAAAAAAGTGGCCGAGTTGTTGGATCATTATTAACTGGTTAATAGGAGTGGCTAGAACAAACATTCATTTTTCTTTTTTCCACCAAGGTTTTACAAATCTTCGCGAAGAAATCTAATGTTCTAGTCGTTTATGTCTTTTTGGTTTATCAACAATGAATATGTGAGTTATATATATAACGCGAATACAAGAGCTATTTACTCATCAAATGATTGCCACACTCCAAATTTTAAATATTTCCACTCAATCTTTATAGAGAAACCTAGTGCTTCTCTTTGCACAATGATCCAAACTTAGGTATGATCTTTTACAAAACATGTATGAGATAAATTTAACTCAAGCACCACACTTTTGATTGTACTTTTCAAAAAGTGAAGTATACGTCGGTTAAAGACAAGCAACATTATGGGAGGACAAACAAAAAGTAAAACATAATTTTTGAAACAATAATGGTTGATTGTTTTGTTAAGAGTACGCAAACTTGTTCTCAACAAGTTTTTCTAAAGGAAAATAGTGTATTTGTAAAGTGTTATATAACTGGTAAAATCCAATGAAAACTAATTAGACTGGATCGGTTACAAATCTGCGAATGATACGACAGTGGCAATAACCAGACTAACAGTGAAATCAGTAAACAAGTTAAAAACCTATGATGAAGACCAATATTTTGTTTAGCTTACATTTTTGTTACACAACAATGACTTACGATATTTAAAAATCGGTTTTTATTGTAAGTTTCTAACGTGTCCAACGGTTTCACCATTAGACAGGCTACCGGTTCATACAAGTTGTTGATTCGAACTGGTGATACGGTGACGGTGAACCGATGATCAATCGTCTACGTTTTATTCCTACATTGTACATGACTCGACATAAATATGATCGTAATATACTGACATGATGTGTAGAAAATACGACCTGCATATGGACATACAGATATCGTATTTGTGCTGCATGTTATCATATACAGTGATCGTACCGCACCAGCCAAATACTCATTAAAAGTGACTTATTAGATAGAGATAAAAAATCCAATATTTTCAGTAGAGCCTCTATTAAAACAAGTTTCTAGTGAAAAAAATAATGAAAAGTGTTGATATGAATGTATTAATACATACGTGACGCTCCTGCTGGTTTGTCACATCTTTCGCCTGTATGTGTCGGTGGACATTGGCAAGTCACTTTATTATTATTGACGACGCAGACCCCGCTGTTACAGAAATCAGCCGGGACTAACGAACAAATAAAATTCGTTGTAGTTGATCCTGTTGTCATCGTTGTTGTTGGTCCGGCCGTTGTTGTTGTAAAAGCAATACAGCGAGGAGGTGCAAAGCTCTCAGTGCATGTACAAATTGGATTCTTAGTAGCATCTAGGGTACAATTGCCATTGTTGAAGCAGTGTTGATAACACGCTATTATAATAAAACAAGAAAGCTATAAAATTTTTAAAAAGAGAATTTCGTCATTTATTTCATTGTAGTTAGTGAAAAATTAATCATTAAAAGTAAGCATCCGAGAAGAACCAAATCTCTCAATTTATCTACGATGGAGTGATGCATAAGAATTTCGTAACTTTGTCATATGTTATTCAGGATAATGAGTTAAGTAATGTTCAAAATTTTTCAACTTGATACGATCAAATTTGCCAAGAAGATTATTCAAAATACTGATGAAATTTTTAATTATAATTATTTTCTGATTTTTGAATCGTTTTGTACGAATTTTCTCCGAAAAAAGTAACTTTTATCGTTCGATATGAGCCATCTTTCACTTAATGCTTTCTCAATCATAATTAACAATGATTCATATTACTATGTAGCAAATTTCAGAAAAGCTTGCTAATTCTATATAAAATAAATTTATAGTTGGAAAGAAGTCATATTGTCTTTTTTTCACATTTTCGTAGCAGAATATATCGGTCAAGAGTGTTTAAAACAGGAACCATGGCATATATTTTAATATATTCATTAGTGATAGAACTCAAAAATGTGTGGAGTCTAATCCATTTAGCAATATTATGCAACACGAAAAATCGATCACTTTTTGTAAAAAAAAAATCATCTTTTTCTTATCACTCATAAAATATGTTTGAAGATATTTTCATATTCTCGATAGATTATACAATTGTGACAAGTTAATATATTCTTATTTAGTTATTTTTCGTTGTGGCTGTTATGACAATATAAAATTCTTAGAAGAGACCTTTGACATTGGTTATGTTATCAAAAAAGGACGAAATGTGTACAAAGGAGATCACTTCCATAGAAGATACTATAAATATATGAATATTTTCAGGTTTTAATTCTCGAATGTTGACTTCTACCAAAGATAAAGAAAGTATTTGGAATTTCGATGGAAATATACACTAGATTTTATATTTTCTATATTGAATTGTTTCTTGTAAAAATTTCTCGATAAGAGTCTGAAAAATATTATCCTATGCTTTCATACAAGTAGTATTTCGATGGGAAATATCTTATAATAAGAAGCTTGTATAATCTGGTGTAGATTTTCATTAAAATTCCGAATGATTAGATTTGTTTTTGATAAAAAATGACTTTCAATTAATAGTATCTTGAGCAAATTACCCTCGAAACCTATGTTTAATTTTCTATTGTATTTCTATTGGTTTAATTTCGTTTTGTTAAATATGATACACTGATTTATAATAAATATTCAGTCTAAATAGAGAACTTTGCTGTCATCTATCTCATATGTTGATAACAAAGTCAGGTACATATATATTTAAATGTTTTATTAAGATATGTAAAAAGAAAAAAAAAGTATTCTTAATAGAAATGATTTTCTAGATAGATCTTCATTTATTCTTCAAGATAGCAAAATTTTCTATAATAATCAAAAATACTCATCTTCTAGGCTCTTGTTTATCTAATCTTTAGTTACAAAAGTTTGTCCAATCAAAAAAATATTTTAAATTTGAATAAAATTCACCAAAAGTAATATAAAGAAAAGATTCAAGATGATTCATCATTAAACTTTTTTGATATTTTTATAATGATCAACATATGAAATAATAGTTATCAATAAGTGGTATGGAATAGACAAGAAAAGACCATTGAAGTCAATCATTACACAGGATTTCCTGGGATCTCTACAATAATGTCGTCATCGTCACTGTTTGTTGCTAATTCATTATCAAAATATTCTGAACATATTAATCGTGAAACTAGTTATTAGGATAATATTTCTCGATGTTGCCTCATATGCTATTTCTATGCATGTCACGTCATGCATATCAAGTACATTAATCGTACATAACATGTTTCATCTCTGACATTGGTTCATTACGCGTATCAAATAAATGTCAAGTTTTTTTTTGTTTTTGGCTTTATTTTACAATCGAATACATAAAAAAGATAAAAATGGAATTATAATACAAAGAATTAAAAACCTAAGCAAGTCTTTTTTTTATTTGTCTATTGACTCAATATTCGTTCTCCAGACAATATTGGCTACAATGAATAGTTATCCAGGTTATCGAGATATGTGGCAACAACTAATCTGCGAATAAAGAATTTGTTGATGAGAACAAGATTATACTATTTTCGTTTATTTTTCCATTGTTCAATTAAATAATATCTAGTTTTTTCGACTTTCTACGTTCAACAAAAATCTAAACAAACATGGAACTAAAGGCAAACAGAAGACTTCTTATAAAGCGTACATAGATTTCTCATGAACTGCACTACGTTTAATACATGGAATAGTCGTGATAGACGTGCAATGCCACTTTTATGTTCATTGTGCGTAACACAACATATGATTAGGCATTAGGTTAGATATTTTGGATAATGATTTTCAGTTTTTTTTAAAAAGTAAGAAATGTTATTATTGATTTTTTTGTTTTTTAATAAAATAAAAGTCATAGTTAATCAAAATGAAATTGAATAACATTAATTGAAAAGAGTAGAAAGAAGAATGAAACTTTTCATCTCTATCATCAAAAACGACAAAATACGTTAAGATAAATAAATTAAATGATGATTATTATCTACTTGAACTTGATTTTATCTTTGATCCTCTTAGGAATAAGCATTGTTTTAAATACGAAATTAATTTAAAAGATATGAATTTTTATCATGAAACTCTTCATCGAAGACATTTGATTAAGAAAAAAACCAAAAAAAAAAATATGACCTATTCGCTAAATTCGAATTACATACATACTTCCTTTGAACTAGTTCTACAAAAACAATATAATAATCCGTCAGATTATTTCTCTTTAAGGTTGAATAGGAATATAACCTTTTGAACAAATGAACCCTTTAAAAAAAGTGTTCTTTTTTAGAGATTTATGCAAGAACTTTTGTCGAGAGAAGATTAATTTGAAATAATTTTCAATGAATCTATAGAAATGTTAAATTTTTTAGAAAGAAACAAATAAAAGATTTTATTTAAAAAAGATAACTAATTTTTATTATATAAATCATCTTCTTAATCAACTATTTTCGAGGCAAATGCAAAATCCTAATCATGTTTCTCTTTCTTTCTTTTTTTTTACAAAGAATTTTATTAAACAAAATGATATACTGTGAAATATTTTTTATTTAGAAATAAATCAAAACAAGAAAAAATACTCAACTCTCACATTTCGTTTATCTTGCCATAATTACTTGATGAAGATCTGTCAAAAAATCAGACCGAATAATCTCCCAGATCAGATGAGGTCTTACGAAAAATCATCATCACTCAAATTTAAGATTAACTCCTAGCATAAAACTCTTGAAAGATTTTACCGACACATTAATTTTCATCTAATCTAATAGTGATATCTTACAAGACAACAGAATCTTATCAGATGACTTAGGATAGGATACCAAAGATGATAATTCTTCGTATGATTTCCGTCTAATAATGTAATATCAGAGAAGACAATAGGTACGATCTTCTAAGATCTTACCATATGATTGGTTGACCTGAAATCATTCGAGTAATTGCTCACCTAATAGATAATCAATAATATCGATTGAGTTTCGTTAGTAAAAATTAAAGAAAAAGGCAAAGTAAACAATTTTTGGATGTTATATCGCCTATAGGTAAACGAATGTATTAGACCTCTGTATAGTGTAAATATTATATTAAAATTGTTTCGTTGAATTTTTCTAAAACGTTTTACTTTTAGATGTAAAAAAAAAGATTGATATTATTTTTCATTGAATAGGAAATAAGTTTGAATCTCCTTTTAATTTTTTTCGAATTTTCTAAATATTTTCTTGTTGCGATAATGAATAACTAAAATAGTCTCGAACAGTTAAAAATGTTCCTGATCAAATATGTCGAATATATTATTGTTCTATCTGACATTTTCCAGGAAAACTTCCGCCAATATAATATTATATTACTTTTAGACAAGTAGATTATTTCTATAGCATAGTCAATAGATAGATAGTTAGCGATTGAATTAACTCTGCGATCATAGAACAAAACTAAAATAATTTTCTTTACAATATAAATGAAAACTTGTCTTGGTTAACAAATGTCATGTTTCCCTGTAAAAAATATCAAATCTGTTCCAGTCTTAGTTGATATCAAACCAGTTTCAGTGAAAAAGAGTTTGCTAGAATCATGTTATACACCGAAATACTGGAGTTTTTTCCTACTAATTCAAAATTCAGTCTTCATAATACATACCAGAATAGTCCTCACATCGTGAACCATCATACGAAATTGGACAGCGACAAATAAATTTTGGACCGCTTGCAGATTCTTCGACATCACAAGTCCCTCCATTGTGACATAAATCTGGTACATAACTGCATAGAGGGTTGATTGGATTATTTTCAGTAATTTGTTTAAATTTGATTCGAGTATTTCTATTTGTTGTTCGAATCATTTGACAACGTTCTCCATCAAATTCAGGCAAACAATAGCATCGGGGATTATTGTTAATAATTAAGCAAAGAGCATCATTTGAACAATAATTAACACATTTATTATTTATATCATTTGATGGATATCCATTTGCCAACGATATAAGGAATATTATACCCGAAATGATAAGAGAATATCGGTTAAACATTTTGATTTTTTTTTGAAAATAATTTTTGTTTTCGGATTTGTCGAGGATGCTGTTTATATAGAATTATTTATTTACAAAAGAATTTATTATATTTTCATATTTTAAACGATTCATATGAGAATATTTGACGATAACAACATGCATAAGTCGATAAATCTACGTTTATTGTTAATATAGTATTAACTTAGTGTATTTTTTATGTATGTAAGTTTATTTAAAATAAACTAAAGATCAATAATTAATCGGTAAGTAATCACAAATTTACTAGAACGTTTGTCTTTAGCTTTAAATTTAATCTTTGTTATCACTCATATTTAATGTCCTTGAAAATCAAATAAAAAAACATGTTTTTCATTTTTTTCCTAGCAATAATGCTTTAATGCATGAATAGCATCGTCAACAGCTTATGAAAAAAAACTATCCATATGAAATGTAAAAAAGTACATCGGATCTGTATTCAATAGTTTTGTTCGATTTAGAAGTTTCCGCAAACGACGTTCATTGATAAAAAATATCAAAAAGATCTCAGCCGTGAGAATTACTAAAAATATTTAATAACTATTTCAATCGCCATAGTATAAAACTAAATACTACATTTTTAAGAGCTTTTGATTCGCACGAGAAATTTCTCCGAATTTTCTTATCTGACTATTGATGAGTACCTTCTCTTACATCATGTTTTTTCTTCATATTTAAAAACTTTCCGAAATAGTCGTTTATACAGCTTGAAAGTTCGATTTTAGTAAGTTATATTAACATTTCAGTTCAGTTCAGTCTTGAGTTGTGTCATTTTCATTTAATTATTAAAACTCAACAGAAAGAAATTCTAAATTGGCAATGAAACGTCTGTAGACAACGAAAAGTTTTATCGAAAAAGTCAAATCTCATAGAAATTCTAGGCGAATATCAATCATGTTCAGACATGGCTGAACATACTGCGTTCAGTGTCGAACACACTATCAGAGTTCGGATTGGTTTTATTTAGAACTAAGAAATTTAAAAAAAATACGAAAACATTCTCTCGTGAGTTCTGAAGGCTAGGACTTTGGTGCACAGCGCCGTTGAACTTTTAACAGATTTAGACGTTGAATTCTTCCCGGGTTGCTTCCGTTTTAATAGAGATCTATAAATAATTTCGTGCACAAACTTTTTTCCGTTTAAAATTCATTGTCGAACAGTTGATAGAATCAATTCCAACGAAATATCTTTTTATATTCTTCGAGTTAGTTTAAATTATCTGACATATATTCGTTGATTCGTTTTTCATTAATCAATGTGTCGATTATATTCAATTGATTCAGAAAAAAGAATTTGATTAAGAAATTTTTTTAATTAGTTTATTTAGTATTGAGTATCTTCGAGCTTCTTTACAACATAATTATAATAAAAGTTGATTGAATGTTTTTAAAGTGAAAATAAATGTATATGTCGAATCGATGTCTTTTTCACGAATAGTAAAAATAGTTTTTATTGTTAAAATAATATCACTTTAACTGACCTTTGCTTTACGAAATGAATATCTAATAATTATTTTATATTTATGGATTTCTCTAAATGATAAGAAATCTTCGATATAATATGTATTTTTAAGTTTATTCGAAAAATATTTATTATAATAAACAAAGCATTAAAGAGAATTCTTTTTTCTCGCTTTTCATCAATATAAAATAATATTCAAAATTTTATTTATACATAGTTAATAAATATAAGTTGATCAATTCTATGTACTTGATATGAAAATCTAAATATGAAAAACATTTTTTACGAAAGTAATGTTATTTTTTTGTAAATTATTTTTATTTTATTATTATTTATATTTAATCTAGATTCATATTGATCATGTTCATTCTTTTAACTTTTTCATATTTATCAAAATGAAGGTCTTTATCGATATTTGTTATGAATTATCACAATAGACAAAGAATATCAATAACTCTCTTATATCTAAATGATTCTATGCATAAAATCTTCAAGTTAAATTTATTTTGAAGAATACTTTAAATGTACATATATTGTTAAAAGTTGAAGTTTTATTAAATATTATCTCTTAATGAATGAAATATATCAACAACATATTTTTTCATTAGATGATAAGGAATATTCGAAGATTTCCAGTAGAAGACAGCCGACGATTAGAGCTCAAAGCTAATCGATTCTATCAATCTTATGGTCAAATTTCGGAACACTTTCAGCCATCGATCATATGTATTGGATAACATCTCTACGAGTAACATCAATCATTTGGACTATTTCCAATTATTCTACTATTTTTTCATTCAGAATTAATTATTACATACATCGATCGAATCTCTCGTAGTCTATTAGTAGACATATTTCTATCTGAGAGAAATTTAAACAAAAGCAAAAAGTTTTTCCTATCAACATACTTAAGATATGACAAAAATAGTGCTAAATGCACCTCAATATCGTACAAAAGCTTTGAAAAAATTTTCTTTGAACATTCGCTAATAGTAAAAATAATGATCTATGCTTGTGCACGATTTCATCATTGCTGAATTAATATCATGTTAATTAAATTTTGATAAACTGATTTGTTATGATATGGGATGAAAAGACCAGCGTCTATTTCAAAGTAAAAAGTCAAAAGAAGTTCCTTCAAATGAACTTTAATAAAGGAAAAATCGAAAGGTGCTGTTGCCACCTTTGGAAAGCGATGATAAAGATCGATCAACTCGTATATGACACTTTTTTAAAGATTTTTAATTGGTATTTTTTAAAATAAATCTTCTCTATGCAAGGTTTTAAGCGCATTATTTATAATGTTGTATACGTTCAAATTGGTACTCAAACATATAGAAAAATGCCCAAAGATTCAAATGTTTCGATTTAATCATTCAGAAATTACAGGCATTCTACTTTAAACTTCATGTTGATTCTTATAGATACTACAATAGGATACATCGATCATTTTCAAGGACTTATTTCACAAAAATTTATTAAATAACTTCAAAAGATATATTAGAAAAAAGTGTAATTTACGATTGAAGAGGTCTTCATCTCCTCGATCTAAAGACGAACATTGCACCGTTGTATCTTGTTTCTATCAAAAGTTATTTTTAAAAACCCATCTTTTTTTTTGTTCTTTGAAATAATCATCAATCTTATTAGCACATATAATAACAACCAGCTCTTATGGAAATTTTATTGTTTTGATATTAATTGAACACTGATGAAATACTATATAAATATAGATTATTCTTTTCTTTATCAGTTAATTTAGAGACAATATTTTCTAAAACTTTCTCTATGAAACAAACGTATCACCATCACTAATTTTGCATTGTTCGAACTATTTTAGATAGATTGAAAGAGAAACCTCGTCGTAACTAATCACTTGTAAGAAGATTTAAAAAGATCTAACAACTTCTATTTTTCGTTTGTTGCTTGTAAAAAGTGTTCATTGTTTGGTAAACATTTCATTTCCAATTAAAATTTTCTTTCATGGACACCATCCGTACTTTTCAAATGTATCCACTATCACAAGATTAACTGTTTTTCAAATGAAAAAATCTTTTTTTTTCAACAACCATCATTTTATGATGTGTATTTTGTCAAAATATTGCAATGAAGAAAAAAAACAAGCAACAAAATAAAATAACCTGTATCTAAATGACAAGAATCAAGTAAAAATTAGTTTATATAAATTCTGTCAAGCATTCAACTTTTGTAAGTTAATTTTTCAAGATAGAATCATACGGTGACTAATATATAAGAAAAATATTAATTGATGATGGTCAAAAGAATACCAAGAATGTCGATTAGTGTTTGTATCGAATAAAGTTCAATGATATTAATTTTTTTGATTTTTATTCGATTGATCTTGAACAGAACTTGTAATAACATGTGCAAGTACACCAAATGGAATAGCCATTAATGCACCTTTTGTTGCTGATAATGGACTAAATTTTGATGGTAAACCAATAATAAGTCCACTTAATCCACCAGCTATCGAAAATGTAAAGGCATATTTATCAACACGTTTTTGACTTTGAGAATATCTTAAACGATATGCTCTATCCCATATTTTATATTGATTATATTTTTCATTATATAATTTTGCATGCATCAGACCTAAACTAAAAACAACTCCAACAATAGCACCATATATTGATGCTGTTCCAACACGACTTAATATTGAAGTAAATGATAGATTTTTTCTTGATTTATATAATTGATAAGGTAATACCGTTGCTATTGTTACTGTAGGTCCTAATTCAAGACCTTTATAAATACAATGTAAACTTAATTCACGTAAAGAATGAGGAATCAATGCACGTTGTTCATCATCTAAATCTTCCATTATTTAAAATGAAAATTATTCTTTAAACGTCAACACAACAAAATATATCTATCTAAAACAAAGTCACCTTTTTATTTTCTATTGTCTTAAAGATTGTTGCCTTTTTTTCTTGTTCTCTCTTATGTATGTCACACGATGTATTTTGACCCATCATAACAACAGAGAAAAAAAAACAAGAAAGAGAACGATTGATCTACACACTGATGCATAGAATACCCTTGGTTTTTTTTTCTAAATGTATTTTGGCAAGATTTTTTTCTAAGCCCATCATTATTTAAGATTTATATAAAATTTCAATAAAAATGAATGCTTGCTGTTTTAAGATATATAAATAGATGGTTCTCTATGCTAATTGATTGAGACAGATGATTATTATTGCCCACTATAGAGATGACGCTAGTTAATCATCATACTATCAATATAGAAAAATTGGTACATGT